TCCAGTCATTGTTTTAAAACCTCGACCTAGAGTAGAAAGAGGCACTTCCAAGGAACTGTGATACACAAAAGCATGGATTGTCTTAGGAAATGGCTGCCGTGTTCTCAACTTGAGCTGAAGCGGTGGCATTTGTATCTCATCTCCAGGTACCACACTACATTCAGACCAGCACCCACACCGGAGATCCACGCCCGTCTCAGGCAGAACCCTAGAGACAAGGAAGAAAATATTGAGAAGCGTGTGGATACCTATTACAGGAATGTGAAGGAACTGGAGGATTTTTATGAAGATGCCTTTTATGTCAATGCTGACCAAGACCCTCATGTTATCTTTGAGTTTATAGAAAGCTGTATCATTAAGCCCCTTCCATGCAAAAAATCCAAAAGCTTATAATTAATAGGGATGATTTCTGGAACAGTTGATTTTAAACTTTTCCCTGTAATGTTTGCAGTCTGGTCACTCAAGTGGCAGGTTATTACAAGAGGAAGTTAAATTTGAAGCTCACCAAGGCTGAGTGAAGTACAGAGAGTAGGAAATTGTGCTTTAGGGGAAATGTTTTTGGCTTTTGTTTTGTGATCCAAGTTATGAGGCACTGTGGCTAGGGAAGTTCCTGTGTTTAATTCAGATGTCTTTTTCTCATTCTGTGATTCAGAAAATAGTAGTTTTGCCTTAACCATGTAATACCCATGAAGACAATTTGGAGTATTAAAGCTATTAGATGTGTTTGTGTCTAATTCACCCAGCGCTCTCCACCAGAACTACACAGGCACTACCTGTCTACCTCACCATCACACTCTGCTGCAAGCAAACACAAAAGCAAAGAGAAAAATGAAGTTTGAAGCTCTGCAGTGCTCTTTCTCCAAAGACAACTGCAGTGCTCTAAGGCCAGGGTGCAGAGTTTTTTGCTCCCTTGTTAACTCTGATTGCTTTAAAAGTTCTGACAAAACACTCTGCAAATGCACCGTGTTCTACAGTCCAACCCCATAGCCAGGCAGAAAGACTCAGCACAGCTGAAAGAAATACCTGGAGCCATAAAAAACTGGTCGCAGGTTCATCACTTTCAGAACCCAATTAAGCACATAACGAGCTGCAGGAGCAGGTAGGTTACTAAATTCTATTTTCCTGGGGCAGTGAGGCTCCTAGCCTGTGGCTGCCCTGACTGAGCCGTGCCTGGGCAGGCTGGTGCCCAGTTAGTTTTGCTCTGGCTGGATCTGGCTGCAGTAAATGCTCAGGTAAGTCTTTCCTAACTGGAAAATTCTTGATGAAACGCACAGCACTCTGTTAGCCAGCTCTGGCTCTGACTGTGGCAATGCACATCCTTAATGCTTCCGAGGAAGGGGTGTGATGTGTTGTTGTGATTCAGAGAAGCATGGAGTTTGATGCCTCTGTTATGTCTCCTATTTCTCCCTTGTATGTGAGTGTGAATTCCTCTTGACCAGGGAGTAGGGAGGAGCTTCAACTTTCTCCTGGAACCCTTTGTGTCTGGGAAGGTGCAGGAGCCACATGCCCTCTCCTTTCAAAGAGGACAGGCCTCCAGGAGCCTTTTGGTTTTAGATGACTTCCCTGATCCTATTGCTGTCCATAAGTTTGGGTCTTTGTTGCTGTCTTTGATTGCGTGTGTGTGTAGGTCGATATGGAATGCTGTAGAGATAGATGTCTGTGCCAAATTTCCTCCTTGCACCTGTAGAGGACATTCAGGTGTGAAGATGTGGGTTATCCAGATGGCTGTGGGGATTCTGTATTATTTTGGGAGAGTTTAAGGTCAGAATTTTCAATACCTTTGGGGAGTTTGGTGAATGAGAATTGGACTTTCCAGCCTTGAGGGTAGGTTTAAAAATCTCAGCATAAATATCTTTGAAATCTAAGAAAGCCAAATCTTCTGGCACCAGCAATGCAAACTGAGTGCTCTGTGCTTCTTGCCCTGAGAAATTCTGGCTCGTAGCACCAGGCTGAGGCAGAGGCTGCTCCCACGGCACGGGGCCCAACCACAAACCCTCGTGTAGAGCAGGACAAGGGCATTTGTAACCGTCCTACCTGTTACAAATGTGCTGTTTGGTAACCTACTTGGGCAGCTGGTTTTTATGCTATTACAATAAAGATATGCTGCGGTATTCATGCATAATTGGGAGCCCTTCTATTAATAATACATGGGAAGCTCATCTTGCTAATATCACCTTCATCTGAGTGTTGCTACTAAATATTTTGATAGATGAAATGGATAGAGAGTGTATTTAAATGCTGTTTGTACTGCAGCTAGGATACAAAAGGGACAGTGCATCTTTAATTAGACAGGTACATCTGCTTAATTAATTTAGCTGTAAAGCCCTTTTTCCTCTTCATTCTTTCATCTATATGCGGGCGCTATATTAGTTCCGCTCTGCTGGTTCCATAGAAACTGAGAAAAAGAGCTCGTCTCATTGAGATGCGCTTGGCATGTCTGGGTACGGAGTCTCAGGTCAATGGTCAACCCCCGAGGGTTTGCAGCAGGCCTGAAGTGCAGAACGTAAGGGTTAGCAGAACATGCTAATACTCATGTAGAACTCTCCCTCAGAAACAACTAAAACAATTGACATTCATTTAATTACTGTAAACGAAACAGCCCCTGCATCACTTTGCATAGTAAAGCCTGTTAATACCAAAAAGGTTCAGTGGGTGGAAGGAGGAATTGGGCTTTTATAATTGGAATGCAACACTTGAAAACCAATTTGGTAACTATGCTTGATTTTATTAGCATCTTATTCTGGCAAAACAAATGTTGAGCAATGAGAAAAACAAGGTAAAGAAGAGGTGGTAAGAACGCAGCAGGGATCCGACGTTACTTATTGTACAGCTTGCCCAGTTCTGAAATGGACATCTTTTATCACTCCGCTTTCCAAAGACACTTTGCAGAGGGGACTGCTTGGAGGTTGTGCTCTACCCTATACATTATGCTGTTAATTATGTAGTTCAGTAGCAACAAGATGAGTATGTCCAACTGTTCCACAAACTTTCATGTCCACCTGCTTTAAACAACCGATCCTTCAATGCACTGTGGTGGAAGGATGCCTGAACTCCCCCAGGCAGGAGACCAAATCCTCCAGCACCATCTCTGCAGGGATCACTTGTAGCTTCTTGGAAGATTTCCCCTGCTGCCTCCTTTGGTTTCTCACCATTCCCCATAGGTTTGGGTGCTGCTTGGGTGAGGACACCAGCACAAAAACCTTAAATGGAGCTGGTTTTGCCACCATCCATTTTCAAGGTGCTGTAGAAGCTGTGGGGCTGTCGTGAGGTAAGGGCCAGCAAGGTGTTCTTACAGGTCCTGAAGATTTGGTTTAGAGCAAAGACAGGCTTGGCAGGTTCCTGGGCCTCACTTCTGCTTCGCAGAGGGGCAGCTGGAGTCGGGTTGATCTTAAGTAGGAGCCAGCTGTGGTTGTGACCCTGGAACTGCCCATCTGTGTCACAGTTGCCAAAACTGAACCTGAAAGGTGGCTCTTGCGTTGTCATACGTACTTCATACAGAAAATTGTCTATTCCCCTCTACAAGCAGGCTCTCCTGGGTTATCCTCCTCTTTCTGCAGCAAGAACTGCTTGATTCTATGAAAGAAAAGAAAAGGTGATGTCAGGCCACTTTCGTCAAATAAAGTTGGTTCTTTAGTGGAATTGTTTTCTGGAGCTGGATTGCTGCCATGCGGTGGTTCGGGAGGCCAGGGAAAAGCTGGGTTGAACCTGTGCTGGTGAGGAGAAGGGGATGGTTGTGTGACTGAAAGGCGCTATCAGACCCCGGATCTTCTCCCAGGGTTTACCACTGGTGTGCTGTGACAGTGGCCACAGTGAGATTTTTATTGTTAAGTTTTTTTGTTGGTTCTTTTGTTTGTTTTAAGTGTGAAGTCTTATGCTGCAGGACTGAATGCTTCAGTCCTTCAGCATTGGAACAGGCTGCCCAGGGAGGTCATCTTCCCTGGTGGAATTTAACAGATGAGCAGACAAGGTGCTCAGGGACATGGTTTAGAGGTGGAATCAGCAGTGTTGGGTTTATGGTTGGACTCGGTGAGCTTAAAGGTCTTTTCCAAGCACTACAATTCTGTGAAATGTTAAATTCTGTGAAACTACACTGCTCTTTCTTGCTACTCTCAGCTCTTGGCACCCCATATGCCTCCCAGGAATTCAGTCCCTTAAAATACAGACATTCCAAACAAGTACTTTATTTATTTATTTAGAATAAAAAAGAGGCAGGATTACAATGCTACTGTCGCAGTATACAAAACAGTCATCCAGGTTTGCTTCACGTTTACAAAATGTGCCATATCCACAGCATCAATATTCACAGCAACTTTGTCAGACCCTCCCATGAACAAAGTCTTAAAGGAAAAAAATCCAGAAACTAAAGCTTAAAACTCAACTTGGCTTTTCGTTCAGCCCGGTGATCGTGTTGTTGGCCAGCTACAACACTCGCACCCCAGAACAGAATTAAAGTAGCATGAAGACCTAAACTAGATTAGGGGAACAATTAAATTAAACTCTCCTCTGAACAGTTCCACTTGGGAACCTCTTAGGTTTTCCCTTTTCAGGGCTGGCCTCCTAGTTTCATGTTAAGTAAGAATTAATCCACTTTCTGCCCCGAACCATAGTCTAGTTAATGCTACTAAGTGCCCCGTGTACCAGCTGCATTGCAACAATAAAAATCATCATCCACAGGCAGCTGTGACACTCCTGCGGTCACCACCCACATCATGACAGAGCAGCAGCAGTTCCAGGTCTTTTGAGTGAAGAAAGAGCTAAAAACTGAGTCAGCATTAAAAAAATAGTGACAAAATAAGAATATTCCAACTGGCGCCACGGGCCTGGGAACATCTCCCAGTGTAAAGTGTGAGTTAGAAATGAGTACAGCCAAAGATTGGCACAGGCAGAAACTTGAGTGAGTGTGTATACAAGGCCCTCCTCCGTTAGTAGTGAAAACTAAAGCTCTGTGGGCATCGCTTGGTAAAATTCCTGCACCTTCAACAGGTAGGACAGGACTCCAGGTGAACAGAGCCAAGCTCAAAGTTGTCCTTGTTTACCCACATGGAAGGGAAAAAAAGCAGCTTTCCAAGCTGGTATTTGCCAGCGGAGCTGTAAACTAGCAGGCATCTCCACACAGACATTTGTACCAGTTCTGGTTAAAGAATAAATCCTATCCACTTTGATGTAAGTCTGGAGTATCACCAGTGTAACTTGTGTGTTTACTGGCCTGATACAGAAACCTTCATAAGGGAATACAAGGGGGCGATGAGGACAGATGTAGTACTGATAACTACTTGGAGTGTTTCACCTTTATTTACTGAAAACTTGTAAACACCTTCTTCCAGTTAATTTAGATGCTTACTATAAATCTGACTTTTTGCCACAACTACCAACACTTTGAAGCTAAGACTGCT